GTGTTTCAAATAAAAATACTCCTGAAAATAGAAGAAAAAAAGCAATGTGGAATTTTTTCTAACGAAATTCTGGGGTAACTAATTTCTTTATTCAACATAAGTTGGCTTTATATGCTGTGATTGTATGTTCTTTATACTGTACTTTATAGTATATTATATTGTATATTGCGAAACAGGTTTATTTAATGCAGGCGTATGGAGAGCTTTTCCGCAATGGCACATCGGAAAAATAAAATAAACCCGAATTTGGGGCATAATAATTCACGACGAGTGCCGTTCACGACGCAATAAAGTTTTCCGCGTTTAGATTTGTGTGTGCGAAATTCGAAGAAAACTAGTCGCGTTCAACGGCTCATTATTATTCCGTTGAACAATTTCGATTTTCAAACATATAAATTGAATTATAACGCCTGCGAGCGTTCGAATAGAAACTGTTTTAAAATGCAAATCTGCAAGCGCAATTGTCACCGGGAAATATGCGCCCCATATCTAAGGCATATTAATCGTTCAAATTTCGAAAACTCCCTGTATACAGTACGAGTGCATTTTTATTTATTTATTTTTTTTTCGTTTAACATGTACCGCGAAAATATTGGCAGGAGGTAGTTCGGTGATGAAACATCTCCGAAAGCGGACAGACCAGTTGTTGCGGAAGGTTATGACAGACCTTTTGCTTTCGAACAAAGAAGTTTATTATTTATTGGAAAACACCGGCCGTAAATATTCCACTTCATTTTGTGCCATTCAATAATTTTATTCGCCTAATTGACGAAACAAAGACAAGAACTCTCTGTTAATCCATTCAACTCAAATACGTATCGATATAAATAATTGCGATGTACATATGTATATGTGCTGTCTAAAATTTTCCTTTTACAGGTGTTTATTCAATTTGGCGTTATATACGAATGTCATCTCGAATCTTGCGGAAAGAACGGGAGCGCTTTAAATAATGCATAAACGTTTTTAGAGATTACACGGTTAAATAAATGGGACGACGCGACGCGACATCACATGTTCCGTTTAATTGAATTTTCCCTTGAATTTTCCGGCTTTCGTTCGTTTTTAATTATGCATAAATTCCCTTCGCTTGCCAAAAGCCGGGATTCGATCTTTAAGAAAATACTTAGAGAAATTCGGTGGATGTTTGTTGTTTGTACAGCAATAACAAATGTTTGCGCTTTATTTTAATTAGGATACAACTAAGTAGATTCGCTGTTATTTTGGACGAATTACAACGAATTATTTGTTAATTTACAACGTGATTATTTATCGGCGTATTAAAACGTACGAATAAATCTAATCCGCGCAACACCTGTTGAATAGAACATGTTCATTTGCGGACACATATGCGAAAAAAGTCGCATAAATTTCGGTAATCCCAATTAAATAACCATAATTTTCGAGCACCGGCGCATTACCAACGCCATTTTCATGGTCTTCATGCAAATGCTGAGCGTTTAATATTCCGAAAAACGTTAAATGTAGATTTATACGAAGATTATGCTCGCATCAAATAATAGATTTGTTTCTTGTTGTTTAATGGTTTTCGTCTAGTCTTTAATTTGATTACTAACAGAAAAACTAGGTACTTAATAGAAGTTCCGGATGTAAATCAAACATTTTTCTTTGCAATCAGAAACATTTCCCTCTACCTTTTCACTTATTTTTCACGAGAAAACGATAACCAAAAGAAATTTTTCCTGTAGAAACATACAACTCATATATTATTGAAATCTGGAGAGAGGTTTCAACTCAGAGTGTGGATCTCCCAATTTCAAACATTTTTTTTGGAAAACATTTTGGATCTTTACCTCACAATTCATTCGGTTGAAAAGATAGATTGTAAAAATCGAATAATACACCATATTCATGAATAATTCGAATTAATATATTAATGATGTAGAATTAGCATTTTGCTGAATCCTTTTAATTAATAAAGATGTCGACGGGAGGAGAGGCAATGAAAATTATACGTCGAATAAACGAATATTATTGGCATGTCAAGGTTTCGCGGGTTATATTAAATTTGATTTAAAGAGCTGCTTAAAAAGAAAATGATCCCAACGACTTTGGAACGGTAAAATTTTATTTACTTTGGAATTCCAAAACGAAAATTTTGACCCGAATCTCTCTAGGTCGTCTAAAAATATTTTCATTATTACATAATGTAAATAAACTTATTACTTATTTTAGTTATTTATTTTTCATTAAAAAAAGGAAAATATATAAGGGAGTAATAAATTATTTCCTATTATGGGCGAATTTTATTTAAATGCCTACTCGAAACAATTGTAAATAATTGACGCATTTTCATCGATTTTGAACTATGAGATTAAAATATGATTACCTTGCCCTGAGTTTATATGAAAACCTTGGTAATTTGAACTTGCTCATGTAAAAAAATCTCGATGGTAATGGTCAAATTTTAAAGTTGTGTGCTTGGATTGATTTTGTTTTAATGCGCCGAGAAAATTTATCCTAAATTATTATATTCGATTGATTTATTATGCGATTGGGAAAAATTCCGCTATAAATATAACCAACTGATTATGAACTTATCTAAATTCTAGCATTTTGCATTCATTAACTGCGTCTTTCCAGGTGGTCTCGAAATCTGCATAAATGTAAAATATCCCGAGTTTTTTGAAACAAAGTAGAAGAAGAAATTTATTGCGCAGCATTAAATTTAAATGTTATTTTAATCAATTTGTATGGGAAATATTTATTTACTTTATAGTAAGCAAAGTACTTTCATAATTGATTGGTTTTCGAAACTAATGCATTTAAATCCTACTCAATAATATTTTGAAAAAATGAAACGAAGCCAACGATATAAAGGATACAAGAAATACTACGGAAAAGGAAATAAAATACATATGTACATATCTAGGTAAAAATATAGGAAATTTATTCATTTGAATTTCCGACGGTGACCTATGCGTATGCTATTTTTGATAAATGAATTTGTCCTGAATATTTATTTTATGATTTCGGCGAGATTTTTTTACAAGCCATTAAATATGTATAATTTATTGTTAGCTCCTTCTGGTGAATATTAATTTCGAATCGATTAATGGTAGGCGCTATATCGTTAATTTGAAGCAAGATTGCAATTAAAATAAAAACTGTATACCTATTGTATCATTACATATATAATATTAAAATACGTTATTTGTGAAAATAAACTTACCTATTTTATTCCAAGGACAATTTTTCAAATTATTCCATGCCGAAGAGACTCCTTTACATGCGGCATATGAATGAGGATACATAATTTTCTTTCTGTTCTGCTACTGTTTCTGAATATTTAATAGACAAGAAGCTACTGATGAAGTTAAGTTAGAACTTTTACAAACTACGAGTAAAAATATTTTTTTCATTTGGTTTATTAAAATTAAATCCTTTTTCAATAACCAAGCAATTCACTTTAGTTATACAATACCCGGCTAGTCGGCAGGAAACTTCAAATATTTACGGAGTTACTATAATGCATCGAAAAAATTTAATGAATTAAAATATCGATTGAATATTCACAATAAACGGATTCATCACCTGAATTGAGATTTTAGTTTGATTAAAAAAATTTCATTTGGATCGCAATCAAATCATCGTAAATAATAAAAGACTCGTAAAATGGAGAACATAGGAAAATAAAATGGCTTAACAATAGAAATCAATTGTCAACTTTGATTTTTCTCTTCATAACATCTAACACAAATGTTAACTACGATTTCTCGGTGCTCTATGTAATTTGCCGATGCCGATGAAATTATTGTTATTACCTATTCAGCAAAGAAAATATGAATAGATAAGATTCATGTGATTACCTACATATTACAAAACGACTTCAATTCATACTAATTTTTTATTGGAAATAAATAAAACCAACAAACTTATGGGAATATACATCATTTATTTAGGGACAGACAAATCATAAATAGGTTAGTTTTCCATTTTAAGAAAGAAACTAAAATAGTCTTCAACGATTTTACACATAGTGTCGATGCACGTACATACAAAGTTAACAAAATAAAGTTCGAAAATGTAAAAAACTAATAATATTTTTTAGTGTTGTATATGATAGGCCTACGTATATATAACATCATTTTAAGCTACATATATGCATATAGTCTATGTACTTAAAAACTAATCGTCCTAATTAATATTGACTCTTCAGAGCAACCGGGTAGATTTTTTTTTGTTTCAAACGACGACATCGAAAACAATGACAAGCGGAAAGAAAAACGGCCTCGATCCCGGTCATAACAGCCATTTCATAAATATACTTATGCTACATAGGTACACCATTTTGCGAAACTAATGTATTTACATCTACAATTATCGTATTGTATCCTCTTTTTACTTCTATGTGTCGTTAAAAATCTGATGTGCGATGCTCTGTGCGTTTTATCCAATATCTAATTACCTTGCAAAATGGTGAGCTATTTACTCGAGACGAGTTTTAATTTTTATCACATCAAAATGCGCGGCGAACAAATATAAGCATGTGTAACTTTGGAGTTACTATTTAGAAAGAAACGTTACCGAATCAAATTAAAAAATTTCTTTATTAACATCTACCAATACAGCAGGTTCCAAAAATTAACAATTCATTTCAAACTCTATACACATTTTGGAACATACTGTATATGAAATGAAGTAAATTAGATTATCTAATGCTATAATATTGACATTCTCTATTATCATACATTTTTAACTACTTAGCCCCTTAATTTAATATTGCGATATATTTTTGATGAAAATATATATTTTTCCGAGACGGGGCTAAAGCGAAACGAATAATTTTCTCTAAAAATTGAATTGTATACACATTTCAAAAGCGAATTTAAGCGATAAAAACGAATTTATATGCTTAGTCCATTGAAATTCAGCAATACTTCTTTTCCATAAAATTTTAAACAATCCGTTTTTATCAATATTCAATTTTATTAAATTTGCTTCACGTATAAATGTGGAACAAATTAAGGAAATATATGCAGTTCTCTAAAATGTACATATTTAAAAAATACATTTCAGAAATATGTATAAGTATCAAATATTTTTTTATGCTTTTTTTTACAATATATTTATACTAGTTATTGGACTGGACAGCTGAAGTCACATTTACATGATATGTGTGCAGTTTCATATAGATATGTATAATTTATCAGTAAGGCGGTTTACTATTGAAAAGCGAATTCTCCTCCATCTATTTTGCATTTACCTACACCTCGTATAAACGACGTGCATTATTAAAAAATGTGCCCTAAGCCACCTTACTAATAAGAAAGCGAACATTTTCACAACGATTGGCACTCTACTATAACCACATTATATTCTATTTTAAAAACAACTAATTCGAAAAAATTTCGTTACCCGAATTTGCATAATAGCGTTAAATAATTTTTTAATGAATCGTAAATAATCCGGAAATGTTATATAACGATTTTTAAATTTAATTTGTTTTTTTTTGTCACATTTTATGTATTTATTATAATTGTTATTGTATTGATTTACTTATATGACGGAGTAGTTCAGTATAATTTTCATCTTCAAATTGGTTATGGAAATTATTTTCGAATTAGTAATGTAACTTTGATTAAAACTAGAATATTTTCAAGGCCGAATCGACTACTTGCCCTACAGACCGTGTTTACTGCTCTAAAATAAATTTATCTAGACGATATCTTTAACAGTTAACATATAACAGCTGTCTTTAATTTTTTTCCAAGCTTAACACCGACAGAATATAGTATTTAACACTCAACATCCAGGACAGTTAATCCTGCGAATGTAACGAAGCCAAAACGCTCCATTTACCGGGGAAATGTCATGAAATTGCGCAGTTTTTGAAACGATTCCCTATAGAAAATTACCGTCGAAATCACCCTGTAAGAAAATGTCAGCCGACGCGTTTACTTAATTTGCTTAGATACTTTTCCCTACAGTATATCTGATATGTCTGCGAAGTATTAACCCTTAATATAAAATTGATATGTCTTCGGAATGATATGTTTTTTTTTTTATCGCTCGATCCTTAGATACGTATAAAGCTTTTTTGTTGGTTTTCTTCTTTTTTTTCATGTACAGGAAAAAAGGTATACACGCTATAAAAGTTTAAAAAGTCTAATAGATTTTATATTAGGCACTATTCTAAAAATAAGAGCAAACACTCCTTGAGTCACTTTCGAGTAAGTAGATAATTTTTGTAGTGCTGGAGAAATTCATACACCCTGTTGCAATTTTTTTAATACAATATTTTTTCCAAACGTTCGTTCATTAAGGCAATTAAAAAACCAAGCGGTACAGTTCGAATATTTATTCAAAACCGTGGGTGTTAGGTGGGTGAAACTCGATAAAGCTCGTTTTAATTCTTCCACCTTCGAATAGTATATCATCATCACGAATAAATTCAGCATTTCCTGAATATTTCAATCAGACTGATCCTGCATTAACTCATTAAATAAAGCGCCTACTCGAATGGAAATTCAGTCGTTTCCAATCGACATCGACAGTTTTGAAGTGTTTGCTCCATACTAATAGTATATGTAACAGGCATAAGAATAATAGGGTGGCAAAAGCGCTACCACATATATGTATAATATATCTTATATTTTTTGGTATTTTTGAACTGATTTATGCGGCTCTTACGGCTAAAAGATTCCTTGATTTTTTGGCCAGTAGAGGGCCTACTTTTAGAGATCGTGCTAAGATTCGGGGTTTTCATGTCTGCTAGAGCGACGAAAATTTCATTTAAGATCATATTATTTGGAGAAATATTGTGAATTCTCTTTTATTGAATCGAAGTTTTCAATGACTCTAGGAGAAAAGTTAAGTGAAGAATATTTTTCCAAAGAATATTTCTAAAATTGCATTAGGAAGGGAAAACACACTAGAGACTTATTGTTCGACGAATTGACTATAAGCGTGTTGGACAGTAATTTACATACACTAGCACGAAAAAACACTTGCGTCCGATAAAAGAAGTCTACAATAAGCGAACATGTACTATAGTTTTCAATTTCAATCGTCAGTGTAAATAAATGTAACATTTATAATTGAGTGTTGTTTTGATTAATTTACATCAACGAATCGAATTTATCATCAATACACCTAACGAAAAATACCATATATTTACAACCCTATAGTTTTGGCTCACGTAAATTAATGATATGTATGCTTTAATATATCACCATGTTTTGTTTTGTAATAATATTTTACCTAATACCTTATTCATGATGGATTTTGAGGCGAAAATGCGGTGGCAAAAGTACGCAAATCCGAACCGTCATTATTGATTATAATAATAATTATAATGGTATAACAATTCATGAAACGGGTATCAGGTTTAAAATAATTTTATATAATTCATATATTATTTCTCATCGTCTAAAAAGCGTACGCGAATAATGTAGCACAGTCGTTCCTACTTACATCTAAACATAAGAATAGTTATTTGTTTTATTTTTGTTCTATCGATACTCTCCATAAATATTAGTAAGATCGTTAAATATGATTGTCTATGACTCTGTATAAATATTGATTGCACTTTCCAGTTAGTTTATCTTCAAATTTATACCAAGTCAAATATGCCCACTGATTTCATCGACTCGATTTTGCACCTCACATTTCATCAGTTGACGTCCATTAATCGTCATTAAATTTTTAATCGCAGCAGTTACTCGTCTACGGCTCGTGTTGTGTATTTAAATATAACGCCCTTATTAAGTGTGAGTTGAATAATACACTATCATGAAGGTACATAAATTATTACGTGTTTGGGGGCCTTTTCGGAAATTTCTCCAATGAAAATCCTTAGGCGGCAGCACCGGCGAGTCAACCTTTTAAATAATTCAAAATTAAAGTCTAAAATGGGACATCGAAGGGCCATTTAACAAGTGGAAAGGACTCGACCGCACGTACACACGGCCACACACACATCGCAAGGGCCCGTAAAAACGTTGAGCCGATTAGGCTTAGGACCAAATCCATTAGAGAAGGTTAGCCGATCGACGGTTTAAATGGGAAAAACGGACTTTTTCTTGTTCGCCTGCTAGCAGGAAATCTCGCAGGATAATTCATTAAAGCGAATACGCTCGAGAATTGATTTCGAATTAATTATGCACGGGATAATTTCGCCTAATGCCACTTTTACGTCCAACGTATTTGCAGTTGACTTTTCAAAGAGAAACTCAAATGAAAACCAAATTTTATACCAGGTAATTCTGGATATTACAAAAAATTAAGTTTATGTTTTGATTACGAGAACCATAAAACTGAGTGAGAAATATTATAATAGTAATAATTGCGCAGAGGAATTATTAAGATTCCAATAAAATAATCCAATGAAACTTGGGTATTTTTAATAATTAAATCACAAGAAAAGATGGCAATAAACAGAATTATGATTACTTCGAAATGTCATAAAAATATGATAAATATATCCGTTAAGTAAACAGGAATTACTTCATTTATAGCGTATCAAATTAATTGATATTAAACGACAAACCAGAAATCACTGTTAAAGACGCGCCTTTCACTTTTATTTTATTCGATTTCGCATTAAAATTATTATCGAAAGTAATAAATCGCCGACCATACACGTAAATTTAAGCCCTCATCAAACTTTAGATCCTAAATTTATATAGCAAAAAATTTACTTTTCTGCGAATTTATTAAAAGAGAGTATCTTGCACTTGCCGGTAAAATAGAGCTCATGTATAATTTTCAATTGAAATAATGCAATTACTTTGTACGGTCAGCTATATCCGCTCAAACCAAGGACGTCTATGAAGATTAATAAACGTAATTTTTGCATTAAACATAATTATTTCAATTAATAAATTTATTTGCTGAACGACGGAGGATCGTTAAAGATAATGGACGATAAGTAGACAAGTAGTTTTTCAAAATAATTCAATATGAATTAAAAACGTTATTTCCTGCAACACTCAGAATATTTAATTCAATCTCATACACGTGGATGATTTATCTAATACTGCCGTAGAAAAGTAAAGAATTTCAATATACAAATTGAATTAAAATGGATTTCAATTCGATAATTTGTAAGGTCAAAATCGAAACACCCTACTTATACCAATTTCAAGTTTGTGTATTTTATCGAAGGGTGTAAACTTTCAAAAAGATTTCTCCAATTTTGGAAAAAGGTAATGTTTTGAAATCTTGACACCACAAATGAATGAGATTGGAATGGAATCTCCAACACATTCACAGTACTATTAAGCATCGGGAATAACTCAGTTCGCTGTTAATTATAGAAAATTTGCCGTCCACAGAATCCATTTATAATCAGCGTATATCAGCTCTTTCGCAGGAATATTAACAATTTTATAATTCATCATTCAATTGAATAAACACCTTAATGGAATTCCCTTGTACGCCAAAACTCCAAAGGGAATTCGGGCTTCTAACGAACCGAGCTATCCTGCTCCTAGAAATTAAACACAATGACTAAACTAAACCCATTACCTAAACTCGAGAAAAGAAATTTTCCAGTCCAGATTCATGCTCGCATCGCTCGCGTTAATTCAATCTATGCGTATACAATCACATCCATACATCCTCGTATATAAAATCCGTTACTTGTTTTGTCCTCGTTAAAAAATACATGTGTCCCAAGCTCTTTCTACTACGTGATACTCTAATTCGGCGCCGCGTCGCGCGCCCTTTACGGCGCCCTCGACGATTCCAGCATCCACACCAGCAGCGGCAGCAGCAGATGGGGCCTCAGAGTCGCCGCTCTCTCGGTGCTCGAGGCCATGTTACTGATGTAGGTGTTGACGCACGGAGCTTCTGCAGATCCTGCAACCAAAACAGACGTTCTTGCACAAACCTACCTTCACTAATCAATGTTTTAAATGCTCAGTAGAAGAGTAGAATGTAATAGGAACTTGTATTATTAATGGAAGGTAGAAGCTTTCTTCCGGTTTCTATATGTATAGTGGAAATAGATTAATTATAGTAGATAGTGTGGAACACAATAAAGTTGAAATGTACGGTACAACGGGGGTTATTGATGGTTAAATTAGTATTCAAGTTATTTGGAAGGTGCCGATACGTGCGCGATAAATTATTCCGGAGGGTGTTTTGATAGGATTACTTGTTTCGAGGCGCGTATAGGAAAAAATCAAGACGTTCCGATTTCGGGGGCCCACAATAAAAGAAAAATGGAAGTTTCGACGGTTTCGATGGCCGCAAGAGACGCATAAATGGAATTTTTTATCGGCGTATAAAAATTCCCCGGCGATTCTCGAAGTTTCCGCCATATTTCAGGATGCATCCGGGTGTTATCAAATTTCTATTGTACGACATCAATCAGGATTCGGGAAACAAATCCGTCCGGAACAATGCCGGGAATATCATACGTTAACCCGATAAGCACAAGCTAGTTGCTAATAAAGAGCCGCTATCTAGAAGAACTCAATCGAATCCCGAAGAGGGTATAATTCTCCCTTACATTTCATCTTCAATAAACGTCCATTGTTCGCCCGCAAACTTTATTTCAAGGCTCACCGCTGCTTTATTACCGCGCTGCTCCTATATGCGCCATATAAATGGCACCGTGCGAGAATATTTCCACGTTATCTAGGTGTCAACTCGGAATAATATATCCATTTATTACAAGGTTATCAAATTACTAAGCATCTAACCCGTTAGCGGGCTTATCTCCGGAGGTTTTTTTTTTACTCCAATAAGGAGCAAGAAGAAGAATGGGGCCATTTACCCCAAACTATTCTTATACTCAATATTATACAGGGTGTTTTATGTACATAAAAAGCAGGTTTTGTGTTTTGAGTTGCTTTTTATATACAGCGAGTGATTTAGGTGAAACGGGTTATGGTAAAATCAATTTCGAATTATGCATAACCAAATGAGAATTGAACTTTTGTGTGTACATCAATTCGCATAAGATCCCTGCAGTTAGGTCTGGGAAAGGAAAAAAGCAATCAGATAAGGCAACGAAACAATATAGATGGCAGGGCAATAAATAAAGTTGTGGATGTCAATTGGAGCTGTGTGTGTGTGTGTCCCTTTTTGTATTCCGTATATCGAACGGACTCGGTCGGTCGCAGTAGCGTATCGCGAAATTTATTCCTGCTACGCAAAAAATAGGGCCCTTATTGTATGGTAGATATATCGGATAGGCTTTGCGAAATCCCAGCAGGCGCGTTCCGGGGGATACCCGATTTAAAAATAAACCTCTAGGCACTCTCGCGTTTAATTCTACATGTTTTGTTTACCTTTCGGCGGGAGATAATCGCGATCGTGACGCCGATCGTCGAAGTATTCCTCCGCCGTGTTTTCCGGCTTGTCACAATTCATTTCCTCCGCTCGGCGAATTAATTCCGTCGAAAATTTCGGGAGTTTTCTCGCAACGCGAACGGGCAGATAAGGTCGCCTAATTCGTTGAGCGGAAAATAAACGACGATAAATTTCGCGGTTGATAAAACGAAGGACGATAATAAACCAAATCGACCATCCGGCTACTGGAAACTCTAAATCTGAAGGGCCCTAATGGAAGAGGCCACAAGGTTCCCATGGAATTCCGAAGAGATGATTCTATTAGGTACACGTGCAGAAGGAGATGAATGGATATTGAAATCTAAATGTCTATTATGTATAAAAGAAAAGGGTTAAAGTGTAAAATTCATTACCTTGAACTTCAACAGCATGTTAATACTAGTAATACTCAATGAAGTAAGTATAAATGGGACGGGATTTAATAAAGCAATTAACGAAGAAAAGCCCTAATTGCGAGATAATCCCGTTAATTATCAAGCGTATATTGATCAAATTTAAGCCCGGGATTAATTTACCTGGAAGGCATACGTACTCCTATTCTCCTATTTCTCCGAACTAGCATCGACTAAATGAAGTTCTTTGTTGGCATTATATTAAAATTCGCGTTTTGTTCAAAGCGAGTTTTAATTGGCACGACGAGCACTAACTTGCAGATAGTGAATAATTCGAAGTGTTCCCATCGAGCAGCGCAATTACACGGTAGCGTCGATTTTATGCTCTTCTTCGTCTTGTCCACCGGCTCTAATTCGGAATATCTTTTCTTTTTAATTTTTTAGCGAGCGCCCGGCGCGGGAAATCGACAGCATTTTTCGTTGGGGAAATCGTGTTTTAGGAAACTACTCACGCGTCGATGGGATACATCCATCGTACGAGATAGTGAGTAATGCTATAGGCGGATCGAACGAGGAAATCCCTGTGGGCATCCAAAATCCAAAATCGATTTTAAAAGAGTGTAAATATGCGCGGAATAAAATGGAGATACTTCCAACATTATCGTCTTGTTAATTTGATGGATCTGAGAGATGTATTGAGAACGCCAACAAGTGATTGAATGAGTAATAAAGATAATTAAATAAAAAAAGAAGCTTAAAGGAGTACAACGGAAACAGAACGAGACCCAAATGTCTGGCTCGGAGCTCGTAATTATCGACGTTTTCCTATTAAGTTTTTATGGGTTCATAATGTGAATTATTTATTAACGAGTACAAGAAGAAAGAACGAATAGAAATACAACAATCGATAGTAAGTCCATTTGTGTAAGGGCCCCTTGTAATCGATAATATATTACATCAATCATAATCACGGCTACATAATGGGTCTAAAAAGGAAATTTCGATCCGTTAGTTGACAAAGTTCGAGTAAAAGTAACGAAGATCAATTACAGTCTCCACCACTGTTATCAATTTTACCCTAAGACTAAGCGAAGGCTTCGAACAAGAAACCGGATTTGCTTGGATCTGCTTTTAGACCGGCGAGATTACGGTTTCCAAGTGATATTTCGGTCGGGTTTTAGCCGCCTAACTAGTTCCGCCGGCACGTCTAAGTCCCAGATTTTTAACTCTAAATCGACTATTTAATTTATTCACCTGAATTTTCGCGCAACTTCGGCAAGAAGTCGTTCCAGAAAGCGCAAGCCGACGCTCTCGGTCCTCGACCGATGCCATTTTTATCAGCGTTGAAGATGAAATACTGCGGTTGATCTTTGGTGTACAACGGCCAATTCACGTCGTCTGTTACTGGTTTTCTGAAACAAAAATTCAACTATACAGAAGGCCCGTTCTATTTCTTTCAATATGGGTTTTTTTGTACATTTGTAGACAGTTTTTGATTGTCAATAGCACGAACAGCGTCCTATAGCAGGAAAGATGGCATTTAATTAAACATCTGATAGAGTCTGCGTTGGATCGGACGAGGGCCGGAGCGAAGAGGCCGGAACGGATTACGTGAATAAATGAAGGATCCGGTGCTGACAAATGCACTCACCATCCCATTGTCAGCGTAGTGGATTTATTGATTTCAATTTTGATACTACAGTTTATGCGGTATCCGGAGTTGTTTGCGAATTGAAATAGCCGAATGGTGTTCATCAAATAACCCTGCATAGCCGAATCGTATGTGGGCGAGCGAAGTTCAAACGAATATGTGGGCTATTTTTATTTTTTGCAATTTTAATAGCTTTATTTTTGAGTTTAATTATTTGTTTCTGTATACTAGTCCATTTTAAAGTTTTATTGCAACTTTAGGACCCTTTTAATAGTACAAAGAGCCTATAGGTATGTCGTTTACTATTAATTAATTAATAAATTAGTCCTTGCTATTAATATTTATTAAATTTTGTAGATACATTATGATACGGGTGGTGGTTTGCATAATTTGAGACCGAGACCAGAATTTTTCAAATTCTGAACAAGCCAGTACTATGTTGATGGTTCAAAATGTATACTTTTACCAAAAAATAACCAAAACGAATTCTCCACCATGAAGATATAAACGAAAGAAAACTTTGTAATAATTCATAAATCAACCGGCATTTTCTTAAAGATGAGGCGGATGCAATTTTTATGGTTATTTGATGTTACCCTTAAGTGCCTCTATACACCCTGTACAACTTGGTAGGAAAATCTACCTACAGTTTAATTAAAATCCTTATGTTATTAGTATTACTTTCGCTCGGATAAGTGTATATCGTAGGTGTTTATTTCCTTTATTATTTTAAATAAATTTTTGGTTATACGTACAAAAAGGATCTAATCCAGAATTCTGTAATGTTCCGGAACATACCAGACGTGTTAATTCGGCAAAAGCAAATATTTGCTTTTTACAACGCACGTAGTTGGGAAAATCAACGCGGGCGTACGGTGGGCTCGGGAAATATTAAGTAGTCGCAGTAGCGGAACTAAACGGTGTGTAGTGAACTGTTACCAAACGAAAATTAATTAAAGAAACAAAAAAGTGGGTAAAAATCGCAAATTGAAACGTTTCTTAGCGAAAATTGCGAACGCCGGTTTTCTTTCGTGTGTTTTTTTTTTGTTAATTTCGCCCGGTCGTTCGGAGTTATCGCGAAAAGTGCGAAGTGCATAATTCGAAAAAATCCGTTCGACACGCTCCTTCGCTCCTCCGAGCCTTTTAACGACTAATGCAATATTTCATTTCAATGGTAAACGCCCGGAATTCGTTAATAGTTATCGCTCGTTACCCGACGAAATGCTGCGTTTTTTTGCCAGAACTGTTCATGCAGCGACTTCTTTTTATTGTTTGCAGTCCGTAAGTACGTTCTGCTCGAAGTGGGATAGGCAATTAGCTGGATAAAAATAGCAGGGATTGTTTCTTTGCGAAAATAAGCTCATAAAAAAATCGAAAAAAAAATTAACTAGATATTTTAAGATTTTCCAGCCCCCATATAAGTAAAATATTCAAAACGTTGTTCTTATTTTTCCTTTCTTTGAGAAGAGAAATTGAAAAGGCTGTATCATAATTGATTACGTTGCTCATGTCAACTTTTTGTCTCGTGAATATTTAGTTGAATTTGACATTTTTTTCCGGAATTATTTCGCCACCCACGCCGCTGTATTTACGGAAAGGGATGAGGAATTATGTACAATATGGCGTCGTGGGGGTCAAACAACATACACACACATACACACATACACACACCAGTCGGTAGGGTTTCCTTCTTTACATAGGAAATTTGAATATTTTGAAGATTAACGGTTGAGCACTTTAAGTGCTTATAATTCTCTGGAACATAAACATTAGAAGGCCATTGCGTTGTTCCTAAAACCAGCCGGGTAATCTTTATTTGTTTAATTCGAATTCTGGTTGAATAATAAATACGCAGTACACGTTACTTTTTAACTATTTTTTTTGTATTAAAAGTCCGCACTTATTTTAGTTTCCTTGCCGGTTGCTTTTAACCCTCCCTGGATGCTTCGAGTAAAATCAACCATGTTTACCTACTTACAAGTCCTAGTGGACTGCTTCGTACCGGATAGTAATAAAACGTGTGCTATAAAATTCTGTTTACAGTCAAACTATACGCGTTGGCAGCGCAAAGAAATGCAAAATTAAATATCGCGATGAAAGAAAAACGCAAAATGTTTGAGCAAATAAATATTACAGACGAATTCAATTCGTTCAATTTATGGAATGAATCTTTAAATACAGTCGCTTGTTTATCCTTCGTCTCGTCCTTCATTAGGACGTCCATTCGTGCTAATAAACAATTCACTCCTCAAGGATCTCCTTTCAACGCTCTAACCTTTTCCTAATTAAATATCGAATTTAATTGTTCTTTAAGCCTTAGAGCGTCAAACTTTTAATGTTATTTTGATGTTCATTAATCGATCTTTAGTTACTTAACAAACATACTCACCCATTTCCGGCGAATCTCGTAAACACCTGCATTATCTTGAGACTGAGCTCCCGCTCCCTCGAGTTGAACTGCAGCGACAGGTTCAACGGATGGCCGAATACGTACTCTATTTCATCGCCATGCATCACGCCCATCCACTCGCCCCACAGGGAGGTGCTCGTTCGCTGAAACGGAAGCGAAAACGCGTTATTTTTAAATTAAATTCCAAAGAGGAAGAGATACTGCGTTCGCAAATTGGTTCGAAAACGACCTTTTCGCCTTTGTCGCTACTGCTTGTTTAACACGTTTGCCGGAATTTTCCCTCTACCTTTGTTGCATGTACGTAATATCGAAGGGAATCGGCTAGAGGAAGCATAAATGTTATTTTTTTGAGCAGTAGTTCACGAACAAGATATCTCAGAATGTGTAAGCCTAAGATCTACGACCTATAATGGATTTTTAATGGACCTACAGTGGTTCTACGGAGGACCTATAGTGTACCTGTAGACGATCTATAATGGACCTGTAGAGGATTAATTAAAGTGGTTCTATAGTAGACTTATAAATAGATTTATTATGGACCTCTAAAGAACCTAAAATAAATCTACAGTGGTTATGCAGAGGACCAACTATAATAGACTGTAGAGGATCTATAATGGACCTGTAGAGGATTTCTAAAGGTGATCCTATAGTGGACTTGGAATGGGCTTACAATGGATTTATAATAGATTTCTAGAGGACCTATAAAGGACATATTATAGTGGAACTGCAGAGGATCCTAGGTCTTTAGTGGAACTGTAAGAGACATTTAGTGGATCTATAGTGGTGCTATAGTGGACTTATAATGGACCTCTAGAGGACCTTTAATGGCCGTATAGTGGATGTAGAGGATCGTTTAATATAATTTTATGTGGAATTGTAGATGGTCTCTAATGGACCTATATGATCCTATTTGATCCTATAGTAGACGTATAATAGATCTAAAATGGACATATAATAGATTTCTAGAGGACCTGTAGACCTGTAGAGAAACATTTATTAGGACTTTAGTGGAACTGTAGAGAGGCTATATTGGACCTTTTTAATGGAACTGTAGATGATCTATAATTGACCTATATCTGCAGACCCTATAATGGACTTAAAATGGACCAAAAACGCACTTATAGCTTACGTAAATCTAAGATCCTAAATTTTAGTTCATAGATCTTAAATCCACATATTCTGTAACCCACTGTAGATATACAAATCTCAAAATATTACGAAGGAAGTGCTGGCATATACCACGAATCAATTCTCGTGGATAGTATCTATTTTGAAAGAAAATATTATCGACTCGGGTTGCACCGGATGATTACGATGGATGTGTCGGAGGCGGGCGCAAAGAAAAGTCGCGTGAAAAACGACCGGAATTGTTCCGGACAGGACGTAGCGCGGAGCAGCGACAACGTAATCGATGACTCCGGGGCACGGGCTACGTCGTTTAGGGCCCGGGCGGATATCCGGCAGACGCGTAGCCCATCGGGGACGTTCCGTCCGACGTCCATTTAATAGATGGACACATTAACCGGAGGCGATTATCGTATACGGCGCCACCTTCGGCTAAATAGATCCGGGCGACGACTCTTTCTTCTTATTTTTTCTTTTCTGGGTGTATTTTTTTTTTGTTTCGAAAAGGGAGCGAAGTTTATATGCCTCATATCTCTCATATAGGCTTCGTTAAAGGTGGTTATAATCGAGACTCTTAATTTTATGCGATGAACGTATAAGTTGATTAATTTTATTTAGTGTTGTTTTTATAAGGGTTGTAAAAATTATATTACCTATGATTTCGAACAACATAACTTCTTTTTATATTAATTTATACTAAAGAAGCATATTAATGTTATACAGGGTGTCTCATAAGTTGATCCTTTTTTTAACTGCGTATAGATCTTTTAATTCTAAGCAAGTTTTTCAAGTTAATTTTTTTAATACTCTAGAAAATATAGAAGGACATTTTTAAAATTTCTTTAAATTTGTAATATTTCCCCATACGTACCTGCCATTACCATACAGGTGTCAAAAAAATAATAAATAATTAATGAAAAAAAAAATAATTTTGCTATTGTTAAATTGAAAATGGCTCATCTTTATACAAATCATGAATTGGTGGACATGCTGATTATTTATGGAGAGTGTTTCCAAAGCGTTTCCAATCAATTTTGAGCAGTTTCTTTAACTTTTAATAAACAGGGCCGTATTAACTAACATTTTAATAATAAAAAATTGAAAAAAAACATGCTCTCATATTTTCCAGAATATAAAAAAAAATACTTGAAAAAGTTGCTTAGAATTAAAAGATCTATACGCAGTTAAAAAAAAAAGTATCAACTTATGAGACACCCTGTATAAAATAAGAATTGGACTTGTCCTCTTTGCAATACGATATGACATTCACAATTTTGTTGCGGCGTTCTCTTTTTGAGTGATAAGAGATTCAATTAGGAACGCATTCCGCATACTTGTAAGTAAATAAGTATACAAGTTATGCAACTCTCCGGCATCCGACGTCAAAGAGAAGAATAACTCGGAGAGGTTTTCGAAACGTCGTTCGACGTGCCCCTCGGGGGTGTCGCAGACGTTTCGCTTTGACTGCGCTTCTTTCGCTCCTTGCTCCGATTCCGATCCCGTTTTCCTATTTATTTTACCTTAACGTTGAACGGCTTTTAGCTCGCAGATGGATTTAGGGGTTTCATATTTCATCGCGGGAACAACACGTCTAAAGGAAAAAAATAAAAGGATGTTTAAACAAAAGTTGGGGGTTGTTTACGTTCCGTTGTTTGCCGTTGCGATAGAAATGGAAAATATCGGCAATATTCGCTTTGACTTTGGCATTATATCGATATTACGGCGCGAGTGTGAGATGTGGACAAGGTCTTGGGTTCGGTTACTTTTTTTTTTTTAATTCTAGCTTGCGAGGCGAGCGATAATGAGCTCGCTTTTGAGGGAACTCGAAAATTGCGTGCTCAAAATTGGCTTTACGGTTATTATGCGGCATGGAATAAGCGAATAGTTTAATCGGTTTGATTGTAAAAAAACTTTCTACAATAGAATTTTGTTTCGAGTACACATATCAGGAAAACCCACATCCACATACGAAACGATACTTATAAATGTTTCCTTTTTTTTTGTTCTAACGATCAAGTCTCCCAGATTCCCTAATCTGCTCCAGTCACGGCACGTTAATGAAACTACACGCCGCACTAATGAATGGTTCCCCGGCAAATCCTTTACCGGTAAAATTTGAAAAAAAAATTAATAATTGATCGCGGGGTTGTTTTAATTTTTTTCTCTCGCCACTGCAATGCTTCCGATTCGTGCATAACCGATTGTTTAACGGGCAAATGAGAAAAAAAGTAGGATTTGAGGATCGCGTGCGGGTTGCGAGCGCAAAGCAGAGGGCGCCCGTTGCGCTTATACGACGCCCGACGTGCCGTTAATTAAATCGGTTGAAACGTGTTTTTGATAATTTCAATTAAAAATACATCCATTAGGTATTGTTAACAAGTGTATCGCATGTAATGGGCGTCGCGGGAATACACGGACACGATCGCTTCATAATTCACTAGATATTTATAATTAGTTACGATTGCTAATACTATTTTTATATGCGAAAATTGAGACGTGTCGACCGCAATGGGGAAGTTTTTTTTTTCTTCCACAGACACAATTTTCGCATTTACAAGCGCTTAATATTGCCCCTTAAAACCGGTTTACTGCACATTAGACGGCGACTTTACGTCGACTTTGCTCGACGTACGTCGGAGAGGGTCCCATTGGGATTTTAGACCAAAATTTTAGAGCTCATAAATGCTTTTCTGCACTTTAAATAAAGCTATACGAATGTAAACGTAAACGTAAATAGGACAACGTTGTCTTCCTATCGTTGCATTTATCTCGAGCCGGTATATTTAATGAGATTTAAACGCTTTATAAATTTTGTTGCAAATGGAAAATAAAGCTGGGTTAGAGTTTTAAAAATACTCTATAGGATAAAAGTTTCATCAATAAATTAATTGATAAATACTTACATGTGTAAAGTAATAATAGTAGACTTTCATTCCTCTTTCGGCCGCTAATCCTGCGAAATCATTGGTAGGACAGATGAAGAAATAATCACCCACTACATCGCCAATCATTTTCTGATTCAAATATCCATCGTGCACTTGCTCCCAATTGGTGTACTAAAAATGGTAAATAAACTGAATTAATATTAAGTTACCCGGGCGGGTTTCTAAGTATTGATTACATTGTAGCAAAATCGCATTCTTTGCAATTTCATTTGAGGAGCGCGTATGCTCCGGTAAAAAGATACGTGTGCATCTGCTTTTTAACACAACTAAAGTAATTGCGAAAATGCGCTAACGAACGGTGTTCCTTTGAAGCTTATACGGGATTTTCATTAAAAAGAAAACAGAAAGGAAAACTTGTTAGGTACACGCGTGCATTTTGTTTGCAGGGCGCATCTTCACTTTACTTAAAAATGTATACCGGGATCGATGGTAAAAAGGTTTATTAAATTTTTTAGGGAAAATTATTACCTGAAATATAATGGCGTCCCTCTCTAATCGGCTCATATTCTTGAATATTCTATCGATGATTTCGTGGTACTTTTCACGTTGCAGGAAACTCGGACCGTCTTTTTCGAAGAAATCGATGAAATCGTACAGCAGGAAATAGGTTCCTGAAACAAAAAAGCGCACCATAAATATCTTAATTCACAACAATTTTTTCTGTACACTATTATAGTGAATAATTTTAGTGTAAACTTTATCTCTAGTACGAAGTAGATAGATAGAAAATATAGAGTGGTGGTGTCCTGGCAGCAAAATAAATACTCCTTTCGAATTGGATACCGAAGGAGCAAAGGGATTATACTTACGTATTCCCTTTTCCACTGTGGCTTCTAATAAACGTTATTTCGAGATTCTCAAACGAACAATCTCGTCGCATGTAACGTACGCGTCGCTTTTCACTTTGAAATGCTAATTTTAATTTTAAAGTTCGTCAGGAAATAACTAGACATGTCATGTACTTGTCTCCTCGCCATCGACCGGATACGTTCATTGTGTGTGTACGCCGTTTGTTCTGTTCTCGTTCGTCATTAGCATGTTTGCTTTATTGTTGTGGAACGTGTATCGAAAGGGTTATTGCGAATTTGTGCATCGGGTGCGTTTGCTTGTCGATGAACAAGCCTTTCCAGCGATTTTCCAGCGAAGCTTTCGAAAAAAATGTAACGAGCTTCGCAACGCTGATGAAGCCACCACAAGCTTGTAGACTCTTCAACATTGAATGTTTTATTTTCTATTTGTTTTTGTCTCGATTTTGATATCAATAATTAACATCAACCTTTTATGAAAATAACAAGACCCGAATGCTATAATCGCTTATTCGTTATATGCTAAGGGCGACTTATTTATTATTATATCACGCGATACATATTTTTGTCTACTTATCAATTTTATTCAAAGCGAAGGTAAGTTCGTATATGTAGCTAATAAAAGTGAATTAAATAGATTTGTTTTCCGATAAATCCGAAAATATTATCTTTTTTCAATGAAGCGGCTTTCCATACTGAATTGCCAACGGTATAGTCTTCCTAATGGAAAATAAAATACAATAATATAAATTATAGGATAATTTCGTAAATGGTTATACCATAATCGATCAACTAGGTAAATTCATGTTTTTACAATACATAAATCTCAATTTCAGAATCTTAGGGGAAATTTTTCAATAAATATAATATAGCAAACTGCATATAAATGTATCCCTTTATGAAGCGAGGGCAAATGGCTAATATTCGACATAAGTGACTACTATACTTGCCCCGGTTCATTTCCGTTACTTTATTAATAAATTTCACCTTGGGGAACGACACTCCTTCCTCTGATATCTCTACGACAACGTCTTTGTTTTATCATTATTTTAACGAGACTCCAGGTCAGGGCTCAGCCTCGTTTATTCGAAAATAAATAACAAAAATTACTTACATTTACTAATTTCAAATGAATATAACTGAAATTATACAAGTAAAGAACTGCTGTAAAAAAAGCGATAAATAAGTTAAATTAAATCGAATCGAAAGCAGTTTCTTTCCTTCCAAATCGGCGTAATACCTTTTCGAAAGTTTTTTAATAATTTAATGGAGCGCCTGAGACGGAATTTCGAAGTGTAGCAGAAGTACGATGGATACAGCTTCGATAGTCTTTCACACAAATGCGAGCAACTCGCGGAAACTTCTTCCAATAAGAACTTCCGCTGCGATACGAACGGGATAAAAAACGAAAATAAATCATTACGAGAGCATTCGATAAATCTCCAGTATGATTTAAGGACTAAAGTTTGTGGATAGGTAAACAAAATTTCTCTAAGCGAAGCCTGGCGAAATCTTCCCTAATTTTTTACCGATAAACTTTTGATAAACTAATGATATATCAACAATAAAATGTTTACACTAATAAGTGTAGATAATTACAAAATTACGTTAGTTCTCTGAACTTCTTACATCGTTATCATTAACATATCCTATTTACATTGCAACTAGGAAGGGACTTAATCGAATTAGTCGGAACAATTCCGTTGTTTTACGCGAAACTTAGAAATTACATTATGCTACACCTGCGATTTACTGATTGCATTTCGAAACCGGTGCAACAGTTAAGCAAAATCACCAATTTACTCCGACTAAAATTTAGTTAAGAAAATTCTAATTAGTCGAAAAAAAAAAAATAGAGGAAATCACCACAAGTAACAGTATATTCCACGTTAAACAAGCTCCTCTCTCGCTAAGAATTCGAAACTTCCTCGCGGTTGATTTTCCGCAAAATGCAGCCCTAATTGGCCGGAGCGGGGCGTACGATTGCTTGTCACTCCGTGCATTACTTCAATTAGATTTTATGCGGTCGGGTAAACGTGAGAAGACTGTCAAAAAGGCGTCGTTCTTAATGGAGCGTCCGACGCGAACAAAGCGAACCTTCTGACATTCCTTTGCCCCTACAGACAAACATAATAAATAAACGCTGAAAGGACCTAAATACTCGCAAATCCATACAAACTTCATACATGAAATATGGATAATTTTCTACAATATTTGGGTATATTTACACTTGCTTTCTATAGAGGCTCAAAATGTTCTAAACTCAATGTCTATTGTTTCTAAAAATGTCTTTCTTTAATTTTCTATACAATACTCTTCAAATAAACAGAAAGTCATATATGTATAAACAGAAGTCTAATAATGTAAGATCAGGTAATCTTGTCAAACATTCTATCGATCTTCGCCTCCCTATCCAGCGTTTTGTGAAATAAAACCTTATTTTATTTATGTTAATTTTTGACAATAAACTTGAGAGCAATAATATTTTTGTATAGAGAATGAAGAGGCCATTCAAACGATATATCACAAGTCCCAATTTCAAAAATTAGTCATTGTAACTGTAACTCGAAGGGCGTAGAATATAATAATCCCATTTTCACGTTGAAGAATGTCAATCTAAAATTAAAATTTGACGTGTTTCGGGATTTTCTAAAACATCTACAGTAACCGAATTAAAAAATTTATTCAATTTGGCTCTACCATCTTTTTTATAAATAACCCTGTTGTAGGTAAATAAGTAAATAACAAACAAGCTTTTTATTATCTGATTTTCCCTTTTTTCGACCATCTTGTACCCACAACGCATTAGATACAATCGAAACTAAATCGTTCGTGTAAAGTATCAAAGAAAGTTTCGGTTTATCCGTTCCGTTCGGGGGAATTTTCCGTAAATAAAAAAAAGCAGAAAAACTTTCGGCCGGCGTATTGTTATTATGTTCGACGCGATTTTCTTCTTAATACTTTTTCTTTTCGAAAGTCATAATAAAAAGTCGCTGGGGAAACTTGGCGCTGATATATCGGCGTAATGTTTTGGGGAAAAATGCGTTTTTCGGAGACGGCGAGTCGAGAAATGATTCGCCTGGAATGATCAAACTTTTTCCAGTACTGTAAAATCCAATTTAATGAAATACAAATCCGGAATACTAATTAGAAAATAGTGGCGGTTTTTCCGGCCCCGCGATACAATCCATTAATTTCAGCGGATTAAACTAATGGCTCAATCTATCATTCTAACGAATTTGACGTGAACGCACACGTATACATACACACACACACGTAGATACATTCACACGTGGCCTAATAAACTACTATCCTCAAACCGAGAACTCAATAGATATAAATAATGAAGCGCTGCCCCTGGAACCCGTGAGACCCTTCGCTAATCAATCGAGCGGCGTTGTCAGATCGACCCGCTTTTCCCGCACCGGAAAATCAATTTCCCCGCTTCTTCTGAAAGCGCCAAACGTGTAAAAAACCACCTGTTCCTTTACCATTACCATAATATCACCAAAAATCTCCTAAAAAAACAACAGATCACATCCAAACAAATAAAAAATAATAAATTTAAGTTGCGTTAGTAATAGTTGAAAAAAAAAACCGCGATAGCGGAGCGTCGCGACGCTCGTCGGCAATATCGCAATTCCGAAATGCACGGGTCGAGTGAACCGGCGCTCGTATATATATCTGGCGGTGGCGCCGACTACCTAGAGCAGACGCCGGTGTGATACTTGAGAGGCCAAGGTCGGTTGTGTCCAGGGGCCTCCAAGGACGCTCCAGGTGGCCGTCCTGCCATTCCTGCTGCGCTCGCACCGACCGATATTAGGAATCGATTTGATAGATGGGAGCGCGATCGCGCGCAGAACACGCGGAAACCGGATTAATTGTGTAGCGGGAAAGGATGCAGAAGCTGCCGAGCGGCCGTTGGCGATGATGCAGTAGGCCCAGTACAGTTGGATATGGCACATTTTCTCCCATTCTCTAATATCTTTTGATGTTGGGATAGTTCGAATTTAAAGTGGCTTGATCGCTGCGTAAAAAATCGGTCCTGGGGAATAAATTTATGGCAGGATAAAGCGGTTTTTTTAAATGCGATATGACCTTGCTTTCGCTTTTGCTTATCACCTGTTACGCGCTTTACCCGATATCCCGGGTTGTTTACGTAAAAATTTCTATCGAGATTTCTCCCTCAGGTTTCAAGGTAATACATTTTCCTGTTCGAAAACATCAATTGCTTAGAGTTATTATTCTGTGTGTTTTTTTTTTTTCGAAAAAGCCAATTTGTTTTCTTATTACTACCGACATTTATAAGTTTCAAAAGAGTGAAAAACACTAAATAAATCGGCGTATTTTTTTTGCTAGAACGTACCGCCTATGAGCTGTATATTAAGTATAAATGAACACGATAAGAGGGAGTAAAAAACCCGGAATCAATAGAGACCTTCTGCTGTCCATCGCATCCCCGACGAAGATGAAAGATCGCAAAGGATCTAGCGAGCGAAATTCAATCGGCACGTGCCCGGAAATTTTCCGCCATTTCCGATAAGAATTTCACATTAAAAGCGACGAATTGCTTAATTATTTCATTCGTTTTTATCTCGTCTTCGATCGGTAAGTGTGCCTTTCGAATAGGTTTTTGCCCCGTGCGTTGCAGCGCCACTGCTCGACGACGAGGAAAAAGGGAAAAATATCTGGTCGTCGGGGGAGCGAAGGATAATTTATGCCGAATTTAATTTAAAATCCCGCTTTCCTCCTTTAACGACGTTTTTCGTTTCGAAAGTTTTTCGACGAAATTACCCGTAACTGCA